ATCAGGATCCGTTAATTTTAAAAAGAAAAGTCTTGCAGCATTTTTATTTTTTTTTAGTGCAATGGTTTTAATCTTGAACCCAAATTGATCAAAATTTTGTATTGGAAGAGTTCGCTTGGTAGATTTAATTGGGGGCATTTTTAATTTAAATAAAAATAAACATACGTATATTTATATATTTTTAAATTATTATGTATTCATCTGATATATTAGTGAAACTATAGAAAAATTCATAATTTGGACCAAAAGATCGATATTTTGGGTGTTTCTTAAATTAGATTACAAAATCGAAATGAATTTTTTTATAAATCAGGTAATGTCAAATTACCCACTTTGAACCATTCTGCGACCAAAAGCATTTTACTAATTGGGTAATGTTGAATTACCACTTTGGCCCATTCTGTGACCAAAAACATTTTACTAATTGAGTAATTGAAAAATATAAATACATCTGTACGTACAATAAAAAACATTAATTTAATTTTTAACATGGAATGTAAAAACTCCATCAAGAACTTGGTGGTAGATAAATCTTTACGATTGCAGCATCCACAAGTTTTTTTTAAAAAATACATTTACAACAATCAATATGAGTTTTATATTAATGAACGTGGGATTGTTTATGTGAAAAATATCAATAATAACAATATGATTGATATTTTTTTAAAATGTGACTTGCGAAAATATCTTAAGGATAATGAAGCAACCGCTAATGAAAAAGAAAAAACTGGTCATTTTAATACGTGTCCTTTTTGTAGAAAATTAAACTTTAATTATTATTGGGGTAGATATTTTTTTGCGTCCGATGATAATCAACCAAATCCATTTCTCGATCTAATTGATGAAAATCTTAATCGTTGTGGTATCTATAATCATTGGAATTCGAATCCTTTATGTGTTGGTAATAAGTTTCAGTTGAGAATTATTGATATTCCTCATGTTCAAAAATTTTTTACTACATATAAAAATTGCAAAAATGTAAAATTGTATTGGTGTGTTCATGAAAATATTAGCGTATATCATAAACATGACTGTCTTTTAGATATTTATCCAGAAAAAGATCTTTTTTATTATGTGGATCATTTTTTAAAGCAAAATCATAAATTTAATCAATGCCCTGATTGCGATAGAATTAGTGTAAATAGAAAAAATAAATCAGAATGTATTAGAGTAGAATGTCAATGTTTTAAGAATATTAAGAAATGATTATGTAATCATTACTATTTAATAAAAATTATATAATGGTTAGATTTTTTTTTACATGACAAAAAAAAAGCAAAATGAACAAAAATAATTATCGCTTTAATCATATCATGGTTACTGTTTACTATTGTATTCCTTGTATGAATACATTTTTTTGTAAAAAAACTGTTTCACAGCATGATAAAAGAGCTCGTGAAGAAGAGTATGAGGGAGCCAATTATCAAGTTCCTTTATGTTCTAAATGTCAAAAGAATCATTGGCGATATAAAAATAATAAATGTTCGAAGTGTTGTAAGATTCGTGAATGTAATAGTATTGTTTGCTCTTCCTGTCAAGAACTTGGTATTGAATGTAAGCGCGTTTTACCTCGTACTGAGCAAGAATTTGACGTGTTAAAAGCAAAAGGGCTTACCTATTCTAATAGACAATATGAGCTGACTTCAACTGGTCAATTTCATGAGCAGTGTTATTTTCAGTTTAAAGATCGAAAGACAATGAAGCAGGTTAAAATTATGTTTGGTCATCGTGGTATAAGTTTTCCTTCGCGTTTATATGGCGATTCGGAACAAAATCGGGACTATAGTATGGAATTTTGGAATCGTTGTAAGAATCCTTTATACGCAAAGGATTGTCATTGTGATTATTTTGATAGATATAAAACATATAATGCCTGCACTGCTGAGTGTACTGAACAGCATACACCAGCTCATTGGCGCGACGTAGATGATCTCGAATTGCCACAAAACATGGTTGGACCTTGGGAGTTTGGAATTTACCGTAATCTTTCAGCTTCTAAAGAAGTGTTAGAATTTGATGGATTTAAGAGACAGTATCTTGAAGATTCTGATCGTGTAGAGCGAATTGTTGAAGAGGGTATTTCCACTCGAGAGATATTAGATAATATTAAAGAAAAGCTTCCTTGGTTTTGGTTGCGTTCTTTGCAAGATCTTTTTTTTCTCGAGGAACAGAGAGAAAAACTTTTGAATGAGAAGCTTAAGAAATTTTGGTAATTTTATTTTTTTTAAATTCTTGATATATATCATATTACTAATATAATAATAATTAAAATATAGGCATCCTGTTACATTTTACATTTATGGAGCAGGTGGTGCGGGTAAATCAGGAATAGTATCTGAGCTTTTATCAAGTGAATTATATGTCAAACCAAAAAAACAAAAATCAGGTTCCAACTGGTGGAATGGATATAACAAACATGAGATAGTTCTTTTTGATGAGTGGTATACATGTATTGATTGGAATGATATTGTTAAATATCTTAATGATACTCCAGAGGATGTTGAGCAAAAACACAAAGGATTTATTCCATTTCTAGCTAAATATGTATTTATAACATCTCATAAGCCTCCAGAGGAAGCTTTTAATTTTCGCCGTAACCATATTAATGACGAATCATTTACTCAACGCGATTGAGATCAGTTTTATCGTCATCTTGATTTTGTAATTGAGTTCACGGGGAAGTGGAATGATGATATAGACCAGCGCACCACCGAGCTTATATTTTACAAGGGTTCAGAGGAAGATTTTCGCAACATGAATTGGGATGTTAAATATTGTAAGGGTGAATTTACTGTTGATGAGCTAAAAACTATAGTTCAAGATTTAAATCAAGAGCAAGATGGTGAGGTGATCATAAAACAGAATCAAGTTTACTGGTGCCGTCACTTTTCTGAATTCAAGAAAAATTATCTACGCGATTATCCTAGATGCCGTGAGCTTTCTGATTATAAACAGGAGCTTTTACAACAATCACAATTAGTTTTATCTTCAATTACATCAGGAAAAAGATCTCAAGAACATATATCCGAATCTGAATTCGAAACATATTTTGATGATGATTCTGACTACAGCCGTCAACAGTCGATGGCCGAATCTAGTACTACAGCTGCTGCAAGAAAAAAATCTACAAGTGATTAAAACGTCGAATCGAAAAATTTATAAATGATTCAGATCATGATGATATAAATATATCAAATTCTCGTATGATGCTTGATGATAATTATTTTGTTCAAAAACCTGTAGAAGTTATAGAAATGACCGATGAGTATGCTAGTAATCAAGATTGATTAGTTTTAACATGGTGAGAAATTATAGAAAAGCAAAATGAAAAAAGCCGTCAGCTCAATGAGGAGAATGCAAATATTTAGTTAATAAATATAGTTTAGTAATTATAATTACATAGTAATTATTAGCCATTTCTATATATAAAGCCTTGATATATGTATTTTTTAATATATATTGTATTTTCAAAATGAATTTAAATAATTTTTTGTTATTTAAAAATAATTTGGATAATTTTTTAATTGTAGTTGAACCATGGATTGATGGTGACTATAGAATAGCTTTTTTAAATAATTTTAAGTTTATTAATAATTTAAAGAATTATAGTTTTGAGGGTAAGCATGAAATCAAAGAGTTATTTTATTTTGACTATAATAAAGGGTTTCCAAGTTTTGTATTTTCTAATTGTGATATTTTTGGCTATAAAGTATATTTTAAAACTAAATTAATTTTAGAGTTTAACTTTGGAAAAGTTTATTTTTATATTTTACAACAATTGAATTTTCTTGAGTATAATATGGCTATTATAAAAATACAAATAGTTATCAATCAATTAAAGACGTTTGTTGATACTGATATTGAGGCAGTACATCAGAAGATGCTTAACGGATCTATTACTATTTTAGAACAAATAGTCAGTTTATCTTTAGATATTTTGGGGAATGACGATCCTGACAAGCGAGAGTACAAGATTTAGTATTTATTTGAGTTAAAAGAGTGTAAAAAGGGAAAATTTAATATCAGCGATTGGAAAGCAACAAATTATAATTTGTTAGCTAAAGCCGAACAACTCTATTTTCATATTTTAGAAAAACAATAATGTTTTATATTTTGAAAAAGTGTTTAATAAGCTATATAAAGAAAGATTCTCCTAAATTAAATAAGATAAAAAAATGAATTTATTCGAAAATTTATATTCTTCACAAAGGTATTTTCAATATTAAAGTTATTTAAAAATATAATTATATTAATGACGAATTTTTTAGCATGGAATTAAAATACAACATCAAAGGTCAAGG